AGGAAAGTTATGGGTATGTCACAAATTAAAGAAGAATAAAAGAAATAGTAAAAGCATAATAGCAAAAGATACTAAAACAGGACCCTGTACTGAGAAAAAAACAAAACAGAATAAAAGACATTAGTAAGATAGTTGACAAAATAAGAATATCAACCATAATATGAACTTCCAACCACTGCTGGAAGTTTCCATATTTAATAAACACCCTGTGGTTACAGAAAATAATATTACTGTTCTTAGGAAATACTGCTGTGCAAACTGGCATGATATCTGCAATGTATTAACAAATAGTTCAGAAGAAACAATGTTTATAGGGAGAGAGACTATAAAACAAAGTTTCCAAGTAAATTCTTTATACTGTTCTTGTAACTTTTCTTTTAAACTTACATCATCTTATACCATTTAATTTCAATAAGATTAGGTCAACAAGCCAAATTAGTTCTGGGACTTCCCCACTACAACACTGGAAGTTTTTTGTTTTGCTTTTTGGTAGGTTGTGGGGCTTGAACTCTGGGCTTGGATGCTGTCCCTGCACTCTTCAGCTCAAGACGAGTGCTCTACCACTTGAGCCACAGCACTACTTCCGGTTTTCTAGTGGTTTATTGGAGATAAAGAGTTTCATGGACTTTCCTGTAGGGGCTGGCTTTGAACCACGACCCTCAGCCTTCTGAGCAGCTAGCATTACAGGCTTGAGCCACCATCACCTGGCACAATACTGTAAGTTTAAATTCTTGTAACTACGTCATTTCTATATACTAAATTGAAACCAGTTATAAATTCCAATTTGAAACTTACTTTAGAAGAAATTAAATGTGTATCAAATATTAACACAACAAAAGGATTTATGCTAATTTTTGTGAACTTTGGAAAGTTGAAATAGCTATTAACTGTTGTGAAACTTTTCTATAGAAACAGTTGAACAATGTACAAAGTATACTAGTGGTCAAGAATATTTAATAGGATTATGTAACAACAAAAAGTGCAGAAAATAGAAAAATCTACTACTGGAGGAAGAGTTCAGCAAATTTTGATACATTCACTTTGTACAAGCCAATCCTTTGTACTTTGTGCCAATCCTGGGGCTTGAACTCAGGACCTAGGCACTATCCCTTTGCTTTTTTGCTCAAGGCTAAAGTTCTAGCACGTGAGCAACTCCTCCACTTCCAGCTTTTTGATGATTATCTGTAGATAAAAGTCTCACCAACTTTCCAGCCCCAGCTGGCTTTGAACCATGGTCCTCAGATCTCAGCTTCCAGACTATTTAGGATTATAGGCATAAACTACCAGCACCTGGCAACACGAATTTCAAGAGGAGCAAAGTAAAAAGCCCAGTACCAGTGGATCAAGTCTGTAATTCCAATTACTTGGAAAATTGAGATTAGGAGGATTGCAGTTTGGGGACAGCCTGAGTAGAAAAGTTAATGAGACAGCTTCTCAATGAAAAGCTGGATGCAGTGGTGCATGGCTGTTATCCTAACAACGCAGGAAGACTAATATAAAATGGATTGCTGCCCACCTGGGTAGGAAGTGAGACCCTATCTTAAAAATAATCAGCAAAAAAACAGGACTAAAAGTGTGGCTCAGAAGTAGAGAGCCAACCTAACAAGCTTGAGGACTTGAGTTGGAAACACAGTATTGTCCTCCACCCGAAGTACAGACAGAGTCAATTTTAGAATGGTTCTATTTAACAACAATTCAGCATTGGTGTAAAAGCAATAGACATTCAGTAGAAAAGTACTTCAACTTCTGAATTTTGAGCTTTCTAGGACTCTGCATACTATGTTCCTGTTGGGCAATGGCAACAAGCTGCGGTCCCAGGTGGCTACCCAATCACCAAGTTAACAGTGCTATGATGGTTCCTAACTTTAGGTGCATTAAGTATATTTTTTAACCCTTTCCAATGTACTCATTTTACTACATGATATAAATTGGAGGGGGAAAGTTGCTCATATATTTAATGATATTAAAAAATCACAACTGAGCTAAGCCTAAGGATGCACAGAAAATTGGTACCAGTATTTGATCTTAAAGGATTTTTTCCCTAAAAGTTTATTAACCATTTTTACAGTTTAAAAAAAACTGGAAACTCTGTAAATTCTTTTTTGTTGTTGTTGGTCATGGGGCCTGAATTCTGGGCCTGGGCACTGTCCCTCAGCTCTTCAGCTCAAGGCCAGTGCTCTACCACTTAAGCCACAGCACCACTTCCAGCTTTTTCTGCTATGTGGTGCTGAGGAATCGAACCCAGGGCCTCATACATCCAAGGCAAGCACTCTTACCACTGAGCTACCTTCCCAGCCCCGAAACTCTAAATTCTTAAAATTAAGGCTTAAGTGTACCAGATATTGGCTCCAGTAGTAAAGTACCTGCTTGGCAAGTAGGAGGCCCTAAACTGAACCTTTAATACAAACAAATAAATAGATACTATATAGATAAATGTGTGTGTTGGTGAAATATTATTTCACTGAAGAAAACAAAATATAACTGATACTATTTTTAAAGGCATATTCTTGTTACTTAGATACATGTATGCTTCTTTTAAGTACCTTTGTTCTGTCAAGTTCCATGATTTTTAAACTAACAAATCCAATAACTCCTTTTAAAGATTAATCTTGAAATATAAAACTCAAATTACTTAACAAAGCTTTCTGAGAATCACTGAATTAACAGGCCAAAGTACAATCCAAACAATCTACAAGTGACTTATGATGATAAAGTAAATTATTAACTTTGAATTTAGTGACCATCTTGCTACCTATATTATGAATAGGAAAGATTACCATCTTCCTTTTACAGTCCTAGTGACATATGTATAATTGTGTAAGCACGTAAGATTTAAAATCAACAAATACTTATTAGCTTGTTCATAGTATGTTTTAAAGTCCTGTGATGTAAATACCATCCTTAGTCAAAAAGAACATTACAAAATTGACGTTCATTTTAAATTTAATGAGGAATACTGAAATCTAAACTATTCCTCTAATTTGGCAATTCTGGAGACAAATTAACTTTGTGCCACTGTTTGAAGTCACATTCAGAGTATACTTCTAATTTATTAGAGATAAACTGAATAAGATCACTTACATACTTTATTATTGTTGTCTTATTATTGATACCCTACATAACCCAAGCTGGCCTGGAATTTTATCTTCTTCTGTCTCATCCTCCAGAGTGCTAGGATCATAGATGTGCACTCCCCATAGCCAACTCATGTACTCTTCATAAGCACTGGTTATACTCTTATGTGAGAATCATCATGGAGATTATTTTTGTGGTGATTTTTAGTTTATTCCCCTTGGCACATTGGTCTGTCTCTAGGAACCTTAGGGGGACACTCAACTCTTCTGGAATCTCATCAGGATCTCATCAGGAACATTATCATGACCATTTGTGAAAGAACATCAATAAAAATGCTTCTATTAACAGTTAACCCAATGAGCACTCTCAAGATGATCATTCCCAGGTACATGACACATAGAAGGAAATGTCTGTGCTAAGAACCTTGAGTGTGCTGTTTCCTAACTCCTGTATTAAAAAGACCCTTCATTTACATTCTTTCAACATTTCCTGAGTCTGAGTCCTAGCCTGTGCACTTACTGCAAGCACAACACACGGTGGAAAAAAACAGTACTCAGAGGAAAATCCCTTCGGTTCAGATTCTAGCATAGTATCTATGGGACTTTTAGATTTAGTTGCCTGTCTAAAAATTTCAGTACTACTAGTCTACTAGATGATTTTCATCAGTAATAAGCATACTGTCTCTATGGTTGTTCTGGGTCAAAGATCTACACTTCTCTAAGATCATCCATCAGATTGTCCAGATAGTCATGGCCCAGAGAACCACTATGAGTAAGCCAGTTCCCAATGACAATTCTCAAAACTGACACAGACCCTGTAGAATGCTGTAAAATTGTGAACCAACAAAATGTATTTCAGAGGCCAGGAAATTGTCTCATGAGGATGAAGAAGAAACCGGGTGTGGTCGCTCACCCCTGTAATCCCAGCGTTCTGCAAGCTGAAGCAAGAGGATTACAAATAAGAGAGACCAGCCTAGGCTACAGGGCTGCCTCGAAAACCCACCACCATCAACCAAGATAAACAAGAAAAAAAATGTTCCAACAGCAAGAACAATAATGGTAAACAAACAAGCCAAAAAACGGGGGGGGGGGGGGAGGAATGCTCTTTATATGTGTACTATTCTAGTACACCAGCAGGGAGTATTTCCTACTAAGGACCCAAGGTTCTGCTACTGGAAACACGCCTCCCCGAGAAATAAAGGAGATAGGAAAAGCCTCCTCAAGGGGCAAGGACAGACTGGGGTAAGTCCAGAGCACAGTCTCTCCCCGACCTCCAGGCCGATTCCGTTCGGGGCTCGTTTTCTTTTTCTTCCCCTAACAGCTACGCAGCTGCACCCAACCGAGAGAACGAGATCGGCATCATCTGCATTTCATTCCTTTGCTTTTGCAATCGCTGGTCGCCTATAATAAACAGAACCTACTTCCCCGTCCAGTAGAAACCAAGTTCCTTTTTTGTTGTTTAATTTTTACGAACGACACGGTCTCCAATCTGCACGCACGCGCGCGCGCACGCACACACGCACACACACACTCCCTGGGGAGGCCAGGCACACACACACACACACACACTCTCTCTCTCTCTCTCTCTCTCTCTCTCTCTCTCTCTCTCTCTCTCTCTCTCTCTCTCTCTCTCTCTCTCTCTCTCTCTCTCTCTCTCTCTCCTCTCTCTCTCTCTCTCTCTCTCCCTGGGGAGGCCAGGCACGACTCTCCCGCCACCACACCTTCCGCAAGCCCGACGGCCCACACCCCGGAGGCGGCCCACTTTCGGAGGCCCCCCCGGACACCCCCGTGGCTAGCTTGGGGAGGGGAGGGGGTGTCGGGGCGGCCGAGCCCGGACGTGCACCGTGCGGACTGCAGGGTCGGGGGGGGGGGGGAGCTCGCGGAGGCGGAAGGGGAGCGGGGAGCCCCGCGGCCCCCCTCACTTACCCACTTTGTCCTTCCCGTACATGTGCCCGGCCACCTGATGCGAGAGGGGCACGCAGCCGTTGAGGAAACGCAGCCGGCCGGCCGCCGGCGGCGGGGTGCCTTCGGGGGCGGCATCGTTGGCCGGTGGGGTCCGCGTTTCGTGCGGGCCGGGCGCCTCGAGCCGGAGCGGGGATGGCGGCTCCGTTGCCATAACGGAGAACACACCAGCGGCGTCGGCTTCGGGAGCGAGCGGGGCGGGGGTGAGGTCGGGGCGGAGGGCAGGGGTGCCGCCGACGCCGGGGGTCGCTCAGGCTCGGCCGCGAGGAGGCCTGGGGGCTCCCGCGGCTGGTGCCCGCTGAGGCCCGGGGAAGGGGCCCATGCCGCCGCGGAGGCGCGGGCGCGGCTCGGCCCCACTCCCGGCGGAGCGCGCCCACCACCGAGTTCCCGCTCCCCCGGCTGCCGCCCGGGCCGGCCAGGAGACTGAACCCGCCGAGCACAGCGGCCGCCGCGGCGCCCCACGTTCCCCGGGGCCTTGACGGCGACGGCGGCCCCACCCCCCGGTCCCGCGCCCCCGCCCCCCTCCCGCCGTCCTCCAGTCCCCGCCGCCGCCGCCGCCGCGCGCGCGCGTCAACGCCGCCCGCACCGCCGCCGCCGCCGCCAGCTTCCGACTTGCGCGACCCGCCGCCGCCGCGGCCGCCGCACTGAGCATGCCCAGACGCCGCCGACGGGACCCCCGCGGCGAGGCGCGCGCGCGCCTGGGGGGACTAGCGGGCCGCGACCCCGGCGCCGTGGGAGGGGGGTCGGGGGAGGGGGAAGCGGGGGTCACGTGAGGGGTCACGCTGTCCCTGAAGAGGTCGCGCCTGCTTCCAATCTAGAAACCCGCTGAGCTCCTTCGGGGCGACCCTGAAGCCCTCGAGGCTCCCAGGTGCTGGGAGCGGCCAGGTAGTGGGGGCGTTGACCGGCGGAGGCCGGGCCGGGGTGGCTCGGACGGCCGACGCTCCTCTGCGGGCAAGTCCCCCGACTCCTACCCGACAGGAAAGCCGCCGAGGTTAAAACACCACCCATAATGCCGGGGAAGGAAGCCGATGGGAAGGCGCACCTTCAAAGACCCTTCCAGCTAACGCCCGTCCCCAGGGCTGCTGCCAACCCGCCCGTAGCTAAAAGAAAAACAGTGGTGACTGACATTCACTTCGGGTGCTCAAAGACAGGGAACCATCCCAGGGTATTCCAGACGTGTGGGTACGATGTTTTGTTCAGAGGACTGTTTGCTTTCCCCTCCCTCTCAACCCTCTTTTTTAAAGAACATACATTTGGGGAAGATGGACAAATTGGATCTCTCCTTCCTCTCCCCCCTCTCCCCCCCCTCCTCCTTCCCTCTCCCTTCCTCTCCTCCCCCTCCTCCTTCCCTCTCCCTTCCTCTCCTCCCCCTCCTCCTTCCCTCTCCCTTCCTCTCCCCCTCTTCTCCTTCCCTCTCCCTTCCTCTCCCCCTCTTCTCCTTCCCTCTCCCTTCCTCTCCTCCCCCTCCTTCCCTCTCCCTTTCTCTCCCCCTCTTCTTCCCTCTCCTTTCCTCTCCCCCTTCTCCTTCCCTCTCCCTTCCTCTCCTCCCCCTCCTCCTTCCTTCTCCCTTCCTCTCCCCCCCTCTTCTCCTTCCCTCTCCCTTCCTCTCCTCCCCCTCCTCCTTCCTTCTCCCTTCCTCTCCCCCCCTCTTCTCCTTCCCTCTCCCTTCCTCTCCTCCCCCTCCTCCTTCCCTCTCCCTTCCTCTCCCCCCACCCCTCTCATCTGGATAGCGCAGGTCCCAGAGCTCGGAGTAGATGACTAATTAGGTCAAAGTCAGTAAGGGATGGAAGAATGAGGGCACCGAAGACCTTCTACAAAAAGGAAGGCACTCATTACCTGGGTCTTGTGATCGCAAACTCTCGGTATGTCACTTCTATAATAATAAAGTAAATGAATAAACGTTTTTATGAGGGGGGGGATGGAAGCACCCAGGGACCCCCCACAGATCCTAGAATAGGGCTTTGCGCATCTTGTGTGACTGTCAGCATCTTCTACGAAGACGGATCCTGGGCCTGACAGGTAAAATTAACACCGGAAGTGGGCATGAAAATCTTAGGTAAAAAAACGTTTAGATTCACCCACCCTAAATGGACTAAATCCTCCCGGGCCACCAGTCCTCCATCATCCGAAAGCCACGCACCTGGGAGGAAACGTAAAATCCGGCCTGGATTCCTTACTTCCCGGGCTCCGCCTCCTCCGAGTCGCGCAGACTCCGTCGCTGGCCGCTCTCACTCCCCTTCCCAGATCCAGCGGCTGTCAAAACTCCAGATCACAGACTTCCTTGCGAGGGCGGGGCGGGGAAGGAGCGGGTTGTACTCAGCTCCACGCATGCTCTGTAAGCAGCCACCCGGCCCACCTCACACACGTGTTTGCAGCCCGCCACGGCGCCTGCGCGGTGGCCCCCCGGAGTCGGCGCCCGAGGACGCGGCTTGGTACCTTGACTCCCGCGGTCCTCACGAGCCCGCTTAGTGCGCGGCGTCCTGCGCGAACGCCTTGCAAGCCCCGGCGCCATGGGTCTGATTTCCGATTCCGGCCTGCGAGGTGAGGGGGAGGAGAGGTCCCGCGGCGGGTGGGGGAGGCGGTGGCGGGGACCGGGGAGTAGCGGCCTGCGCACCGGTTGCAGCGCCCGCAGCCTCGGACGGTGGTTGGCGCTGCCTCCGCGCCTGCGGGTCGCGTAACCTTGAGGTGCAGAAGGACGAGCGCTCGGGCCCGGCGGCGGGCGGCGGCGGCGCGGGGAAAGGGTGATGAGGTCACCGGGCACCGGTGTCCGAGGGCCGCGCTGCCGTCGGTCTGGCTCTGGGCCACGTCCCCCGCCTTCCCCGCCCATCTAGCCAAACCCTAAATCTAGTGATGCTGCCGAGCTCTCGCCCCTGATCGCCCCAACACGGCTCTGCGCTCTTAGGTCTCAAGGCCGGAGAGGTGGGGGAGGACCCGGGACAAACGTGCCCCCCTCCCTCCCAGCGGATGACTAATCATATCGGAGTTGTGCAGGGGAGGTTATGGTGGTTTTGTGCTGTTTTTAAGAGATACTCGGTTTCCCCCACTTGTTATTATACCCCTCCTCTCTTTTGGCTTTTGGTGGTAATCCAAGAAAAGGGATTAAAACAAAACAAACCCCAACAAGTTCGTTGACCCTTCAGTTTCCTTTCCGTTATGCAAGTGCCTAACGTTTCAGAAAAATAACCCCTTCCAGAAGGTACACTTCAATTCCGAGGATGTGTGAACTCTGGGTAGCGTGGAGTTGAACTCGATCACACGTTTGGCTGATATGGTGACTGGTGTATTGTCCACAGCCCTGTGGTGTATGTCATTTCTCTGACCGGTTATGAACTGCCAGTTCCCCCCCGCAAGGCTTGGCTAACCGTAACTGAAGTTGAGAGAGGTAAAGGGATTGTGCAGAAGTTTATTCGAATTGGCTTCCTTGATTGATTCAGGGCAGGTGTGATCATCCACAGTGCCAGGTTCTATAAAAAGTCTCCACTAGCCGGGCGCTGGTGGCTCACGCCTGTAATCCTAGCTACTCAGGAGGCTGAGATCTGAGGATCGCGGTTCAAAGCCAGCCCGGGCAGGAGAGACCCTGAGACTCCTATCTCCAATAAACCACCAGAAAACCGGAAGTGGCGCTGTAGCTCAAGTGGTAGAGCGCTCGCCTTGAGCTGAAGAGCTGAGGGACAGCGCCCAGGCCCAGAGTTCAAGCCCCACGACCGACCCAAAAAAAAAAAAAAGTCTCCACTAATAAGCCCTGATTTTGTAATATCAAGATAAGAGTCCATCAACCGGAGAGGCCTATCAAAATTTTCTGGGCAAGTGGAGAAGTAATAACATTCCTAAGTTATTGGTGATTTTTTTTTTTACTAATTTTATTTAATTTTTATTTAATTATTAATTAATTTAATTTAATTTATTTAATTTTATTTAATTTTATTAAAATTTTATTAGATATGAGAGAGAGAGGGAGAGAGGGAATGAGGGAGGGAGGGAGGAAGAGAGAGAGAGGGAGGGAGAGATCGAGAGAGAGAGAGAGAGGAGAGAGAGAGAGAGAGAGAAAGGAAAGGGAGGGGGAAAAGGGAAGGAGGAGGAGAGAAAGGGAGAAGAGAGGAGGGAGGGAAGAACAGAGGGGGGAGAGAAGGAGGGAAGAGAGAGGAAAGCGAGAGAGAAAGAGAGAGAGAGAGGGAGAGAGAGATGGGAGATGGGGGGGGGTGCTGTGGGTAAGCTGGTGATTTTTTTTTTTAAATGTGACCAATTGCAAACGTTATTTCAAATTGTCCTCATCCTGAGACTCCTTTACTGGTATCTTCATGTGTTTAAAGTAGGAAAGGATTTTTGTGGTTTTCTTTTCAAATGTTGCTATTTGTTTCAGATAGGGTCTTGCTGTGTAGGCCAGGCTAGCCTTGAACTAGAAATCATTCTGCCTCAGCCTTCCAAATCTTGGGAGTAAGGCACGTGACAAATGCCACTTTCTTAGGAATATTCTTTTACTGAGTAAAATAAAATACTGTGTGACTTGTACCTCATGCCATTTTAGTTTATGGCAAGACCATCTGTTTGTATTATGGGCCAAAATGTTTTTGCTTAAACTATTAGGACATTTTGTGTAAGTGGACACTGAACTCTTGTTTAGGTAGTATGCTAATGATACAGGAAATAAGTGAACCTTTCTAATTCCTGTAAGTATCTGTAAGCTAATCTTTCCTGCAGTTAAGACAAGGATTTAAGAATTACCATAATGCAAGTTTAATAGTGACAATTAGTTTACCATTGTCCAGGGGATAAGAAATCACTTGGTAAACAAGTGATTACACTTGAAGTTATATGGAGTAACTACTTTTTATTTCACTAAAAAGCATAAAGGCATTGGAAGGGAGAGTCCCATAGGCCTTTATAAATGTCTTCTACCAAAAACTTCCTCCTCCAGTTCAGTGGCAGAGAAAGTAGGGACACAAGATGTCAGTTTACCTTGTAATATATTATTGTGAAAGATTAGCTCTTACTGGAATTTAGTTAGAAGAACAAAACATTTACTCCACACACATCTCAAAAAACAAGATTTTACATATTCCCAATTTTTTTTAGACAGATCTTAAATTGAACTTAGTATATGATCATGTCTCTTCTTAATTCAATGGATTCATAATGATAAAGACCTTACTGTAAGGACTATATATGTTAAAAATTAATAACTATATATGCATGCAGATTTTTTTTTTATATTCAGGAAAAATAATGACTGGATTATACATAAAAAGAACAGGGATCAGGCCAGAACTGGAGTTAAGGAGATGCAATGAGAATAAGTAATTAGAATTGAAATTCTGTCAAGGATGCAAGGCAGTGTCATGGTGCTGAACACATATTTGATAGATGAGACCATTAATTCATTATGGTTTCTAGCACTAAGTGGCCTTCACTGCCCTCTTCCCCAGTCTCTTGTGATTCTTCTTTGTGTCCAATAGATGGGATTTCTGAACTTGTCCTGCTCCTTAGTACCTCTAAAACTCACTGACTATACTGTCATCCTTAACCCTTTCCTTCTATATGCAAAGAAGAGACTATCTGGGACCATCTTCTATCCAGGTCTTTCAGATGTCATTTTCTTCCCTTAGACTGTTGCCACTGGTATTTATTATTTTTAAGACTAACTCTTTGGGGCTGGGAATGTGGCTTAGCATGCATGAAGCCCTGGATTTGATTCCTCAGTACCACATGAACAGAAAAAGCTGCCAGTGACACTGTAGCTCAAGTGAGTGCTAGCCTTGAGCAAAAGAAGTTCAAGGACGTGCCCAGGCTCTGAGTTCAAGCCCCAGGACTGTCAAAAACAAAACAAAACAAAATTCTCAGAAAAGTTACTCTCCGTTCACCATCACTTAAAAAAAAAGTCAATGAGACCAAATATTTTAAAAAATCAACTTCCTTAACTTGCCTTTCCTTCAAATAATTTTTTTTAAATATTGTAAATTCTTACTTTTTTTTTTTTTTTTTTTTGGCCAGTCCTGGGACTTGAACTAAAGATCTGGTCACTATCTCTGAGCTTCTCTTGCTCAAGGCTAGCACTCTACCACTTGAGCTGCAGCACCACTTCTGACTTTTTCTGTTTATATGTTACTGAGGAATCGAACCCAGGTTTCATGCATGCTAGTACTCTATCACTAAGCTACCCTCCCAGCCCCAATTCTTACTTTCTGACTTTTATGTCCTTGTGTATTAAAGCTAATTTATTTAACTTTACCGTATTGATTCAGTCAATTGGTTGATTCATTTCAAGGATTAGCTTTTTTTCTCAAAAGGAATGGGAGGATCATATTGGAAAAAGTTCACTCTTGTAGGTTGTGAACAAGGTATAAATTATAAGGGGACTGGAATTTGGAGCTATAGAAACAAGGCTGGCTAGCAGTTGATGCTTGTTGGAAAGGGGATAGCAGTTAATGAACCATTTCACATTCTTTTTGCATACTGGAGATGATCCATACTATTGTTTTTTGAGTTGGGTTTGTTCATTTAATTTCAGGATGGAAGCTACTCTTTGATACAATAGTAAGAAGGTAATGACCGGTTGTTTGGTATAAGAGCAAGGCATTGGTGGAGTGTGCAGAATTGGAAATTGAATTAGTCAGCCACTATTTCTTTTAATGTTGAATGATCACCCGTGTGCCATTGCCAGGCACAGCTACCAGTCTTAGAAAATCTCAGGCTGGGATGGGTTTCAACACAGCTCCCCTCCCCCCACCTGGTGGAAGAGGAACAATCTGATTCCGTGACAGTTGACAGTGGGTAGGTAAGGGCAGTTTGGGTCAGAAAACAGGCCTAAGGAAAAGAAGAAGGGTGAGATTTCTACATGAAAGCAAAATAATCATCACAGTAAAGAAAATCTGAGGCCTCAGGAATAAGGGGATAGAGCTTGGTCCAAGTCCATGTTTTCTCCATCTCTGAATAATTTTAAGAGAGAAACCAAAGGTTATACCAAAGTAGGCCAAGGGGAAGAGTAAAACAGGAGAGGAGGTACCTAGGATGTAACTTTCTCTTAATATTTCTCTTTCTTTAATGGTGTTTGTGTAACAGCTTTTTTGAGCAAGGTGGGGCAAGGTGGAGCTTGATCTAACTATAACTCAACTGTACTGTGAGAAATGTCTACAGAAAAGGAAGGCAAGGATAAACCAGAAGAAGCAGAAATATTGCTTATGAGTTTAGGGGATGCCTAGTCCTGACCCAGTGTCTAAAAGGTACCAGCTAAAGAATCCTTTTAAAAAAAAAAAAAGTGGTTCTTAGTAAAGTACCCTCTTGCCTGAGATTATGAATCTCCTTATTAGACTTACACCTGTCAAGGACTACAGTTATTTAGGTTGTATAACTCCTTCTGTTGGATTTGGAGTCCTTTTCCCACCTAACTGTTGATTTTTTAATCTGTCAGCATTTTTGTCTGTATAGTTTCCTTTTCCTTCTTTTCCCTGGAGTCACAGCTTTTGGCAAGGAGAGCTGATTCAAGCCACAGTGGTGAAATGATAAAATAGCAACATTTTTCTTTCTTCTGGGAACTCATAGCATTTGTCCCTAATGAGATTAGAGAATTGGAATTTGGGAAGGAAAAAGAACTGGAAATTCTTAAGACTTCATCTGCCTGTATGATTCTAAAAGACTCATTTGGAGCAAATGCAAGCATATGTTTCTGCCCATGTTGGATGCATATACTCAGGGTTATAAGTGAGCCTTCCAGGGAGGGGGGGCGAGGGCACAGAGTGCATGTTTTGATTCTCCATGGAGTAGCCACTTTTTTACAGTCAGGGCCATTTTGTTTAATGATACCTATGGTGTTAGTTCTTTTCCAATATTCTGTCCTTTCTTTCACCATCAAAAACTCTATCCAAGTGAGGTAAAAGTTTGTCTTTAAAACAAGCACTGGTGTCTCAAGCCTGTAATTCTAGCTACTCAGGAGGCTGAGGATCTGAGGATCACGGTTCAAAGCCAGCCCAGGCAGGAATCTGTCCTTGAGACTCTTATCTCTAATTAACCACCAGAAACCGGGAAGTGGTGCTGTGGCTCAAGTGGTAGAGCGCTAACCTTGAGCTGAAACACTAAGGGATAGCACCCAGACCCAGAGTTCAAGACGAACAACTGACAAAAAAAAAAAAAAGTTTGTCTTTAATGTCATGTATGGTTTATGTTGGTAATATCATTTCGCTGCAGCAGGAAGTGTAATGATGTAGGTCCTAGCCATTTCAGGCAAAAACTAAGACCCTCTCTCAAATTAACATGAGCAAAAGGTCTGGAGGAGTAAGCACTAAGGCCTGAGTTCAAACCTAAGTACAGCCAAAAGAAAGAGGGGGGTTGAGGGGGAAGAGGGATGGAGAGAAGGCCCTATAGGAGTCTTTTTATATCATGAAACAGTTAAGTACTAGTCAGTTGTAGTTCCTTATGCCTGATTTTTTGCAGTATGTAGGCACTATTAAATATATTAAAGAATACCTGGTTTAGGGGTTTGACTAAGACCAATAACACGTGTTATTTTATTTTGGGGGGTAGGGGGAATATTGTTCCCTTTCAAATTTGTGCTAAAGACAACATTTAGCAAATATTGAGCATGTACTATTCAGTAGTGTAATATTTTAGTCCATTTAGGGTCTTTGTTTGCTTGCTTGCTTGAAGAAAAAAAAAGCCAGACAGCTTTTTAAGACATAGTCTCAAAATGTTGCCAGACTAGCCTTGAACTCTCAATCCTCCTGTCTCACTTCTTGTGTGCTAGGATTACAGGCCATCATGCCTGGCCTAGTTCATTTTATATGTATGTTAGCTATTCAGATTAGGGATTTTTTCCATTAGCTAAAAAGTCCATTGCTTTAGTTCTTTACTATTTTTTAATCATTGACAAATTACTGTTCTTGTTTGTACTTGTTCTTTGTTTATGTGGTACCAAGGAATCGAACCCAGGGCTTCATTCATGCATGCTAGTCAAGCACTCTACCACTAAGCCATATTCCCATCTCCTGCTATAGCTCTTTATGTTGGGAATATTTTCTCAGTAAAGTCCTATGGTAAGTAAAAGCATCAAAAAGATTAATAATATGTGCCCATGGCTCACACCTGTAATTCTAGCTATTCAAGATGCTGAGATCAAAAGATCATGGTTTGAGCCAGCCCAGGCAGAAAAGTCTGTGAAACTTCCAAAAAGCTGAAAGTGAAGCTGTGGCTCAAGTGGTAGAGTACCACCCTTGAGCAAAAAATGCTCAGGGACAGTACCCAGTCTCCCCCACTTTCGCCACCCCACCCTCCACCCCCAGTACCAGCAACAAACAAAATCAACCTCAAGGTTCAGCCCTGCTTAGAATTGTCATAGGATGGTAGCATTAAAATTCAGGAAGAAGAAATCTATAGAAAATCCCTGTTTGGTGAGACCACAGTTGAAGATGTCAGATGCCTTAACTTGTTTTCTCATGCAGTACCTGAAAGGTCAAGATTCCTTAATGTTTAGTTTAGAGGGTTATAGCAAAGAGGGATGGAAATGTACAAAGGTAAATAATTAAATTTGTAAGGAAAAATATGACTATAGTTGAAATTAGAATTAATGGGATGTACCAATTAGAATAATGTGATAAAAGTTAAACCATTAAATCAGAAGACCAAGGGGTTGCAGGGAGGAATCAAGTGTGAGAATGGTGGTTGCTTTCTTGTAGAGATTTGTTGAGATCCAGGATTATGGAAGGCACTGTCCAGTGTGGCAATAGATCATATTAGCGAAATTAGGAATTTGACTCCATAGAAAAATAAGCCATAGGGTTAATTGCTCTGACATGTTTTTGTTTGGCCTTGGAATGTGTTTTTGTACTTATCTCTCTAGGGCATTATTTGATAGTCTGGGAACTTATTTCAAACACTGCGAAGATCTGACTCAGGAAGTGCTGGGAAGCAGTCCAGCGTGCTTATCCTGACCCCCGTTCAACTTCTCCATGCGGTCCCCTCCATGCTGGGAATAGACAACTCTCCTCTGAGGCTAACCAGGATATGCACCACTGGCATCTCTCCATCATTGCCTGGACCTGGGGTAGTTGTTAAGCACCTGGGTTTCTAAGGAGTCTTTGGACAAAAAAAGGAATAAATAAATGGCCTGTTAGTCAAAAAAAAAATTATATTATTATTAGTAGGGTAACATCGTTGAACTCAAAGAAGTTCAGTTTAAGCTCATAGTAGATGACTATCTAAATTCTCTACAAACATTTGTATGGACAGTAGAAATTTAGGATTTATCACATGAGAATATAGTTGTAATTTTGAAATTAGTATATTCTAATTTTGTTTTAATGAGCACTTTGGAAATTGTTTAAAAACTGACTTTCAGCTGACTGAAATACAGAATCCTGCAAAGTAACCCCTTGGAATGCTTAGTCTTAAGAGTGATTTTGTTTCGTAGTTCTTTTTGGTTTTGTTTTGTTTTCAAATATTCTGTAGTTACGCTTTTATACCCTAGCTGTAGTTGAATTTTGGTAAGTCATTTTGAAGTCTAAAGAACCACCTATGAACTCTCCTAAGGCATTTGGTTCATGTAATGATTTGGAATCTTTTTAAATCATGTTTGTAATCTAACTATTTCTTAGCATTTGTTTTTTTTTTCTTTTAAGTAATAGATACCTACAGGCTCCTAGTTACTTAAAATATATGAACACTTCAAAAAAGATTATTAAGCCTTGTTTTTCTTCTATCTGAGAGACAGGAAAGGAATCTTTTCATCTTTTAATTGAGTTGTTGTTACTTAATAGAAAATTCACAGCTACCTAGCATAGGCTGGGAAAAGTCTTCAAAGGCCATTGTACCAGTATGTTCTGTTCATGTTGTTAACATAAAAGTCTTGATGCATTAGGCTGCTTAGCACTCAAAAGCCACACTTCGTGAACATTCATGTTAAACTGTGAGTGCAAATTTTGGTTTTCATAACTGTTCCTCTCTTTTTCCCTGCTCTAGTGGAATGGATTGCAGCAGTTACAGTTGCTGCCGGGACAGCAGCCCTTGGTTACCTAGCTTACAAAAGATTCTATGTTAAAGATCACCGCAGTAAAGCCATGGTAAACCTTCACATCCAGAAAGACAACCCCAAGATAGTACATGCTTTTGACATGGAAGATTTGGGAGATAAAGCTGTGTACTGCCGTTGTTGGAGATCCAAAAAGGTGAGGAAAACAATCCTTCACACTATACTATTTTTAATGTATCATTTTTTACTGGGGTTTAAACTCAGGGCCTTTTGGTTTCTTCTCCTGCTGGCAGGTGCTATACCATCCCATGACTTCAGTTTAGCATTTTGCTGGTTAACTGAGATGGAGTTTCACATACTTTTCTTACCCAGCTGTCTGGCTTCAAATCATAATCTAGATTTCAAGTCCAGATCTTATCCTCCTAAGTAGATAGGATTACAGGCATGAGCCATTAGTACCTAGCTTGAGTATTTCTTTTTAAACTATTCTGACATTACCAGATATTAAAATACAAAACATCCCTCTTTCTTGTATCCTTCTCTCTTTCCTTCCCGCCCCCCCCTTTTTAGTGGTTCTGTGGTTTGGGCTGAAGACCTTGTTCTTGTTAAACAAGTGTTCTCCCTCTGATACCCTGTCACTCTGATAGTCCTTTTCATGTTAGTTGTTTGTTTTTTTCTGCTTAAGGTTAGCACTCTACTACTTGAGCCACAATGCCACTTCCAGCTTTTTTCCTGTTTATGTGGTACTGAGGAATCAAACCCAGGGCTTCATGCATGCTAGGCATGCACATTACCACTAAGCCACATTCCCAGCCAGTGTTGGTTCTTTTCAAGATAAGGGCTTCACTTTATGCCTGGGTAACTCTGGACTGTAATCCTCCTATTTCTGCTTCTCTTCGTTACTGGGATGACAGGTTGATGCCACTGTCTTTAATAACATCAAACCAATCTCTACTTCTTAAGTAGGTAGGATTACAGGCTTGAGCCAATGTTGCCAGCTTTCTTTTACTTTAATGGATCCTGTTTTTTTTTCCCTTATATATTTTTGTTGTTGTTGTTGTTTGCTGGTTCTGGGGCTTGAACTCAGGGTCTCTGAGCTTCTTTTGCTCAAGGGTAGCACTCTACTAGTTGAGCTCCCACCTTTTTTGGTAGTTTTAGTGGAGATAACAGTCTCATGGGCTTTCTTATCCAGGGTAGCTTTGAACCAGGATCCTCAGATCTCAACCTCCTGAGTATCTAGGATTGCAGGTGTGAGCCACCGTCACCTGGCTCCATACACTCTTAATAAATAGATTTACTAAAACGGTTAACCATCATGCAGTAAAATTACATCTCACCCTTACTGAGTTCAGGTACATATAACCATGTTCTGAGCCAAAGATAGGAAAATCTCCTTACTATAAGGTTTTCTCCTCCAAGTGGATCTTAGTTTCTGAAGAATGAGAGTGTATAGACTGAAGACATGAAGAAGCAAAAGAAGTAAAGTCTTTTTAAGTTTTAACGTCTGGATTTTGGAAATTCAGAAGAAACTGTTAAAAAGTTACTGTTAAGTTTCTCATTGGTAAACATATATACATATAAGCATATCCTATGCGTCTTTCAGCTGAAGTTCCTGTAGTTAAATATCTAACAGCATAAGATTATTTTAAAAAAAATTTTTTTAAATGAGGTTATATTTTATCATACTTCCTTGTGGAAGGGTCACCTATGATACCTTCAGATTTCTCTCTCAAGGTCATCCTGAAAGTATTTGTGAACTGACTGGCTTCAGTATTTCTGGTACATTGTGAAAAATATAGTGTACACACAAAATATTACCTCTGTTAGCTTTCAAGAAAAAAATAAAAGAATGATGGAACACGAACACTTGCCTCATATGCACAAGGCCATGGTTCTGAAGAAAAAAAAGATTCCGAGAGCATATTAATTTGGGAGCAGCTTCCACAGTCGACACCATTTTCTGAATCACATATCACAAATATAGAAGAAGCTCTATACCCAGTACTATAACGTGTATTTCACTAACTCATTTCTCCAAGTAAAATTGAGGTACAATACAGTAATATGGAGCTTAGCTTTTAATTTTGTGTCTGAACTTGCTTGGCAAATGAATGTATTGAATATAAAGGAAAAGTTAACAAACAAGAAGAGCACCGTTTGAATGTAAGGTTGCTTGCATGTACTCAAGGGTCATTAGAAAGTAATCTCTCAATAATACTTTACAGGCTAGACTCCTTTTTAGAGATGTTTGCCTGTTGGAGGTTTTCTAAAACATACAGCATATTGCATCTAAAAATTGGAAAATTTCTGTCAGAGTTGCAATTAGTCTTCAGTAATCTGAAATAATTTGTTTACTATGTGAGAAAAGTTAAATGGTAAAATAGGTGGTATGTGTATTATAAATGTACAAGTACTTTAATAGGTAACATGAGATTTATTAGGAATATTTGTAAATGCATGGAAATGTAACAGTGGAATGTAATGTAAGCTGATTAAAAATACTAAATAAAAATAAACAGAAGCATTTACACCCAGCATTTTCTGGGAAAGTTTAATGAAAGTATTTGATGCCTGGTAGAGTGCTTGCCTCACATGCATAAGGCCCTGGGTTCGATTCCTCAGCACCACATAAGCAGAGAAAAAAGCCAGAAGTGGCACTTTGGGTCAAGTGGTAGGGCACTAACCTTGAGCTGAAATGCTGAGGGACAGTGTCCAGGCCCAGAGTTCAGCCCCCATGACTGACCAAAAAAAAAAGTATTTGAGAGTCAAAGTACCCCTGAAAAGACTTAATGAATTATGAATAAGCTGCAAGTATTAGGGACTCTATCTCAAAATCTTTCAAGAAAGAACTCATATGAGGAAAGTTAGGAAGGCTGAAGTCTTAGATCTTGGCTTGGCCCAGCACCAACCTCTGCTTCCCTCTGAGGAGTAAGTGAATTGAGGATTGGCCTAGTACCAGCTTCTGCTTCCTACTGAGTAGTAGGTGAATTGAGGAGAATCTTAAGTTCTAGTATGACCATAGGCCTGTGGACATGCTGGAGGAGAAGTCCTTGAAGCAATTTCAGACCTAAGGTGATAATGCTTATACCAGAGTGCTAGCTATGGAAAGGGGGAAAAAAATGAAGAGGGAAGAACTAGCCAAATGCAGTGATTTTCTATGAAGACTGGGAGCTCACTAAAGAATCTAATCTAATCCTGTGGATTAGAAGAATGTGATATCATTAACAGAAACAAAGAATTCAGTGAAAAGACAGTATTGCAGGACACATTAAGGAATGAATATGAGGTAACATTTGAATGGAAATATTTATCAGGTGATCTGATATGTGGGAGTGAAGTAGAGACATCAGGGTTGGAGATAGAGATCAACAAAACTGATGAGTCAAGTATAGGAATGCATCTGATTCTTGATAAAAATCAAGAGCTAAGGGTGAAATCTTGGGCAATTTTCTGCATTTTGGAGAGAGCAACAAGAGTCACTTTAGAAGATAGAATGGGCCAGAGTTAGGATAAAACTAAAGATAGCATACATGCCTTTCCCAATGAAAGCAAGAAACTTTTCAAAGACTGGTACTAAACGTCAGCTTGGGTAAGGCAACCAGGTGAATAGATTGTAAGATGTTGGGTGAAGCAAGTAGAGAGTTGACCTTTTGGTGTCATTTCAACAGAGTAATTAAAATGGAAGCTATGTCCAAGTGGGGTAATGGTATGACTGTCAACAAAAGAGGCTGTAAGCCTGAGTATGTCAGTGAATTTCAGTATATATAAATAGTAAATATAAAGAAAATAATGTAACTGCGTAAGTAAGCTCTTAATGGTAGCTTTGAGATCAAGTGTTCTCTTTGATTGTTTTCCCAGAGGGTGAAAGGGTCTACTTTCTTACACCAAGGCCTCAAATATCTCAGATTAGAGTCACCAGTGAATATGAACTGGTGGTTTGAATTCTTATTAAATGTTATAACTCAGCAAAACATCCCAAGACTGTTCTTTCCATTTTACAGTTTAGTTTGCTGACAGTTAGACTAGGGACTGTCATTTCCTGTAGGAACACTTCAAGAAGAATGTCAGCCCTGCTTTCTCAATATCCAGTTTTCTCAGTATCTGTTGGGAAGGGCAGGGCAGGAGGATCTTTTTTTTTTTTTTTTTTTTTTTTTTTTTTTGGGGTCCGGTCATGGGGCCTGAACTCTGGGCCTGGGCACTGTCCCTCAGCTCTTCAGCTCAAGGCTAGCGCTCTACCACTTGAGCCACAGCGCCACTTCCGGCTTTTTTCTTTTTGCTTATGTGGTGCTGAGGAATCGAACCCAGGGCCTCATGCATGCAAGGCAAGCGCTCTACCACTGAGCCACCTTCCCAGCCCAGGATCTTAATGGCCTTTAGTAATCCTCATTGCATCTAGCAGTTTTGTCATTTTCTAGGAATTATGAATTTTCACTGAATCTTGAACACTTGTTATTAGGATTCACTCTACTATTCAAATTGATGAATGTTCTTTTTTTTATTGTGAAAATACTGTATCGAGGGGTTACAATTACATGGGCAAGATAATGAGTACATTTCTTATCAAGCATTGTAGCCTCCTCCTTTGTTTCCCCTTCCCATCCCTTCCCATCCTCCCCCTGCTCCCCCCAGCCCCCCGCCCCCGCACCAAAGTTGTAAAGTTCGTTTTCAACATAATAACTTTACATCTGTATTCTTGAGAACTTTTGGAAACTCCCCATACTCCCAAGGTTCTTAAGGTTGTCATGGCTGTCAAGTTCAGAAGATGAATAATTAATACATTTTATTAAATAGCTAGAATGAATTAACATTTAATTATTCCCTCATTCATATATTATTAATATACTTACAAAGCAATAAAACTACCTTTTTCCGATCCGACTATGTTACATGTGATAGGAAGCTTATTCACTGATACCTAATGGGTCAGATCCATCAGGAATGTAGAGAAGTAACTATCTTTTTTTCTTTTTTTTCTTTTTTTTGAGTGCCAGTAAGTACTGAGACTTAAGTTCAAGACCAGGCACTCTCATTTAGCTTTCTGGATCAAGGCTGATGTTCTACCACTTGAGTCATACTTCCCTTTCTGGCTTTTTGATGGTTAATTGGGGATAAAAGTGTTGATGGCTTGTCTGCCCTGGCTATCTTTGAATACTCAATCCTCAGATCTCAGCCTCTTGAGTAGAAAAGATGACAGGTGTGAGCCACAAGTATCCAGCAGTAACACATTTCTCCTCTCCTAGGTTTACTATGTGTTCTGCTGTTTGAGAAACTGGCCTGTTTCATACTGCTTCACAAAAGGGCTGTCCATATTTTAGTAAGAATGAAAGGAACCCATAGAGAAAGTGACTTCGGGGTAAAGTACTATTTGAGACAGTAGTTTCTTTTTTTGTTTTTGTTTTTGCTTATTTTTTCCAACAGGGTCTAATTTATTTGATATCAGCCAAGCAGTATTTTAATCTCCTGATAGAAGCTTTTACATAGCATAATTTAAGGTTATCCACCATTGCAGTCAAGTTTCAATAATCCAAAAATTGCTCCCTTCACTGAGTAAAGAAGTGCCTACTCCGCTAAATGAAAGACTGTCACTTTACTCCTGCAAACAAATTCCTTTGACCTGCAGCGTACTTTGTCTTAGGAGGGAAGCTCAGATTCCATGTTGTGGGAACATTCCAAAGTGCAAGAGTAATTAAAAAAGACTGGTCCTCATGGTTTATGTTAAGTAGAAATAAGTATGCGGAAAAAAGCATAAAAATAGAAACAAATATTTACTGCTAATTGGATCTTCATTCCTAATTATAAAATCCCAAGGAATCGTCTATAACACTGGATTCCCTTGTTACTTAACAATAGAAAAGATATGCCTAAACAAGTGATATATTAAAAGCAAAAGTGTTCAAATATGAAAATGTACCTGATTATTACCATAGGAAATAAAAAATGACAAGGGAAAACTTGTCCTCTAAAATACTGAGACATTTGAGCACAATTGTCCCAGTATAGTAGATTAATCAATAATAACAAAGAACCTATAAACACTTTCAGTAAGAAAAATTTATTTTGATAAACATACAAATAAAGGGACAATTTGAAATGCAACCACCTCTACATACTAGTGGAACAACAAGATCTTATTGCCAAGTATACTCTACAAAATACTGCAGTAATGGACATAAGTAAGTGTCCAGAGTCTAGTCAACCTGAACAATTTTGGGTTAAAATACGGTTTTTATAAAAGCTTGGCTGCTTAAAAATAAAAATATGTGCTATGACTCAAAAGGGCTACAAGATGTTGACTTCTAAACAGAATGAAACAACCCACAATATCTTGCAGGATTCAGCTTCTTTGGAGCACTTCAGGGAGCAATTAGAAATTGAGTTTTGTCCTTTTCCTTTCCTGTGGACATTGTGAAATACTAGTTTTACCTAAAATGTGAAATTATGAAAAGGAATGGAAAGTGCACATTATGTTATCACATCTCTTGAAGAGAAATTCGCCAAGAGTGATACTGAAGCCAATACCACTGATCACTTGGGAGGCTGAGATCTGAGGATCAAACTTTGAAGCCAGTCTGAGCAGATTTTTTTTTTTTGGTGGTAGTGGTAGGGCTTGAACTCAGGGCCTGGGCACTGTCCCTGAGCCTCTTCAGTTCAAGGCAAGCACTCTTCCACTTGAGCCACAGCACCACATCCAGTTTTCTGGTGAGTAATTGGAGTAAGAGTCTCATGGACTTTCCTGCCCAGGCTGGCTTTAAACCATGATCTTCAGATCTCAGCCTCCTGAGTAGCTAGGATTACAGGTGTGAGCCACCTGTACCTGGCTGGCTGGGCAGAGATTCTTATCTCTAACGCACAAAAAGAAGCTGGAAGTGAAGGCATAGATCTAGTGATAGAGTGCCACCATTGGCAAAAAAAAAAAAAAAAGCCCAAAGAAGAGCTCAAAGCCCCAGTTTAAGTCCCAGTACCTGCAAAACAAAACAAAAAAGAATGATATTGAAAAGGGGAATGCTGGAATACTTGTCGGAAGCAGAGATATTAAGAATGTGTAAAATAGAAAAAGTGGAACAATCTGGGGAAAAGATGGCTGCTAAGACTATGAACATACAGACCATACACAAATTGATTTTAAATGACTGAATTTAAAATCTTAAAATACTGCTAGGAATATGGTTTTGCTTCATAAACATGAGGCCCTAAATTCAATCCCCAGCACCATAAAGGATATTTTTGTTTTTTATAAGTATGCCATGAATATAATTCACTTAGCAAATATGCATAGAAAAGTTACTGCATCCATGATGAAATATAGAATATGATTCAAGTAATGATCTATATGCCATACAGATTCGATTACACACACACACACACACACACACACACACACACACACACACACACACACACACACACACACACACACACACACACACACACACACACACACACACACACACACACACACTACACATGCTCTTTAAGAAAGCCTCCATAAGATTGCCAAGAGAATTGTAATTTAGAATATATCCGAACTAAGCATCACACTCCACCCTGCCAAGCATAGTACTAATTTGGGGTTTCTATATTTTACATCCTCTCCTTCTCTTCCTAGTTCCCATTCTGTGATGGAGCCCACACAAAACACAACGAAGAGACTGGAGACAACGTGGGACCTCTGATCATTAAGAAGAAAGAAACTTAATGGACAGTTTTGAAGCTGCAGACCAACCTGTCATGATGTTAACTGATTGTTTAGAATGATTACTGATTACCACTTCTCTCTCATTCACCTCCCCTCGTTATAGATGTGGAATTTTGCCAACCTCAGCTTTCACATTCATGGCATTTGCCTTATTGTTGAAGAATTGTGGTGCACATTTGTTTAAACAAAAAGGAAAAAGGATAAACCAACCTCATGGCCTGTGGGTTATTTTGGTCTTGTAAGGATCCGTTTAAATTTGAAATAATGGTCTTTAGTGTATAGTTATACCTTGAAGTTAATGAATTAAATTATTCTCAAAATCATGTGTATGTGGACTCTACTTGTAAGTTTCAACTGAACATTACTGCCTTTTCATATTACTGAGTTATCTAGAAAATAAAAGGGGATGTGATCAGCTTCATTAGTTTGTTAATATATACATATGGTCTAGGGAAACCCAGTTGTGACTTTGATTTTCTTAGCAAGAGACTAAGGAAATAGGTTTTTGTGTTTTCAAACAAAATGAGCTGTGAACATTTTAAGTTGTCCAGGTCATTAATAAAGGGGCAGCAACTTCCTTTGAGTTCATCTTCATGGATAATTAAATTGATCCCTGAAAGAAACCACTGGTGGAAATGAACTTCATAGTGATAACAAATTCAAAATAGTCATGAAGAATGTCCTAAAATGTTAACATTCCAGAATACTCACTCGAAGAATGGCAAGCACTTGAACTGACGCTCTGAATTGGAGCACATAGCTTCAAGTCTCTGGGTTCATGATAGAAATAGCATCACAAGGTTAGATCAAAGGCATGGGAAATTTTTATTTCTCTGCCCTACATAATCAACTGTGGCTTATACTAGCAAAGAAACTATTTTGGAGAGAAGAATTACACAACTTTTTTCTTAAAAGCAAAGATCTGAACACGAGTGTTTATATAATACTCTTCAAAGACTCAAACCAGAAACATGCCTGATTCTAAAAAAATGAAAACAAAATAATTAGAAGCACTAAAGATTGTTAAGACAGGAATAGTTAACTCTCAGTACTAATGAAAACAAATTTCAAGTACTTAAGTCCAGTTCCTTCAAAGTCATAAGAATCAGTGGCATCAGACCCCAATGTGCCTAAACCATGATCACTGATAGTTTCTTTGTGTTGTGTTGTGTTTTTGCTGGGGGGTTTTTGGTGCTGGATGGAGGCCAGGGCCTTGAACATGCTGGATCATCACTGAGCTGTCTCCCCCAGACAGTGTGGATGTGGATGTGTGCATCTTTTTTTGTAATTAGACTGTTTGAACTCATGCTTGTTAGCAGGTGCTCCACTATCTGCAATATACTGCTGACCCTATACTTTTGCTATTAAATGTTCAGTTTTATGCATTTTAGTATACAAAAGTTAGTACTAAAATTCTGTTCACTAGACTTTTTTGTTTGTTTTAGACAGGGTCTTCCTATGCAGCTCAGAAACTCAAAATCATCCTGCCTCAGTCTCAAGTAATTGCAAGCATGTGCCACCATTCCTGACAGTACTAAATTTAACTATCCTGGGTCTATCGGGCATATTTTTAGTACAAAATCTAAAAATCATGCAAACCTTGATTTTATCAGGGTGTTAGGGTAATTTTCCCCCCCATACATATCCCCACTTTTTAAAGTAAGTAAATAGGTCAGCAGATGATGTCATGCTTTTTAAGGTAAAATTTAATACTCAAAGTTTCTGATAAAGATAGCCTTTTTACTTGCTCTAAGCTGGATTTTAAATTTGAAATTCTATTATGCTTTTCTTATTGCAAGAAAATGGACCTAGGACGGTTCTCAGAACTGTGTTATAAAGGTACAGGATTGTATAGGGGTGTGTATGTGTATGGTAGAAGTGGAAATGGCGACCTTACCGTGAAATGTTGACCTTGAACATTTTAATATCCAAAACAATTGGATGCATGAAGGTTCTGGGTCATGAGATTTGCTTGTTATTAACACCATTTTATTGATTATGATTATGTGAAAATTTTCATATCGGTATTGGCACAACATATTGAAGTTTCCTGTAAAGTTCTTGATTGTGTGTGTGTGAGTGTGTGTGTGTGTGTGTGTGTGTGTGTGTGTGTGTGTGTGTAGAATGTCTTACTTTCTTCCACTTTACCATCATGGCAACAAAGTAAGGGCAATACCGGTCCAAATCCCACTCAAGAAGATCTGTAAAGGATGGGTGGAGCATCTACCTTTCCTCAGAAGAGTCCCTATGTTTTAGAGAGCTTGAGAAGTCTGGAGCTAGGCCTGCTGTGGCATACACTTACCCTACTTGGAGGCTGAGAATGGGAGAATCGGTTTGAGCCCAATCCATGCAGAAATTTTTGTGAGATCCCTCCTCAACACATGGCTGGACACAGTGGGACTCTTGTCATCATAAGGTACACAAGAGGCTGCAGTTGGGAGGACTGCAGTTGCAGGCCAGCCCAGACAGAAAATTCTCATTTCTACCAAGGGAAACTGCATTTGCACACACCTGTTTTCCTGAAAGTAGGAAGGTAAGAACTCAAGCATATGCCTGCCGCCCTGTCCTAAAAAGAACCAGTGAAAAACTTAGAGATGTTTCAGCAGTATTGTGTCAACCTCTAACATGTGTTGTTCAAACCCCAGTACAACAAAATTTAAACAGTTCTGGTCTGGGCAGAGTGGCTCACTCCTGTAACCCCAGAACGTGGAAATCAAGAGGACCAAGATAGGAGGCCAGCTTGGGCCAAAAGATAATAATGAAAACCCGGCAAGTCAGGCTTGATTAGAGACATCACTTAAAATTAACAGTTTCATTTATTTCAATATCTGTGAAAGGTAATGTTCAATTCATGTAATCTGTCTCTGCATAGTAACTTTTACTATTCGTTTGTTTTGGGGACAAGGAATGCCTGTAGCCCAAGTTGGTCTAGACACGATACTCCTGTCTCAGCCTCCAACATGGAGATTATAGGCATGAGATTTATTTCACATCCTTCTTTATTCTAATGTTTCTCAACACAGGTTCCTTTTCTCTATTCTAGACAGTAAGGCTGTGTGTTCACGTTCATTCTGTGATTTAAATTTTTAAGGGTTTCTCCTTTGTATTATCTTAAGTAGTTGTTCAAAGGAGTTGCTATTTAACAAAGCAGTTTGCAAATACATTATATCTTGATCAAGTGACCCCTTTCAACATTCTCACCCATCCCTCTCCTACCCACAGCTTCTCTTTAATTTTGTAGGATATACATTGGATTCATCATTGCATTCTCTCCTCTTCATTCGCCTGTCCCTTTCCCCTTGACCCACCCCACTCCTTATAACTACCAGCTTCCTGGTATTTTATTTTGCTGAACTTGTGATTTTTCCTTTCTAAGGAATTACACTATTTGAGATCTCCCTTGAATCTGATTTAATTTTTTATACCCCTGATTCTCCATCTTTCTAACATAATAGCTTTCACATGAATTTTTCCCTATCTCTTCACTTTGCATTTTGATCAAGACTTAAAGCAACCTCTTCCCTTTCACAATACTCGTTCATAGTGAAACTGCTTGCAGCACAGAAGCATTTTAAAATAGCATTCATTGACTCTCCATTGTTCCTTTCTGCTTCAGTCCTGACCCAGAGCGCCACCCAGTGTAGACTCTGGAAATAAAAAAAAAAATCCTAATTTGCATTTGTAAGTGAATATTATCGTCTAGTATATGTGCTTACATCCTAATCCTGAAGTGCCTTTGTCACCCCCAAATTTGGCCACTTTATATTTTTATTATTTTTAGTACTTTTGGCATCTTGCTTGAGAAATCATTGGTGATATTCTGGGTCTCTCTAAGTCCTAAGAAAGAACAACCTCAAAAATACATTTTTTAGGTCATTGCAGTCTTCTCAATACCTGGAACAGTTGCTGTATACAACAAGTGTTCAATAAGTGCTTGAATTAATCTTTAAATGAAACATCTAAAGGATTAAAACATAATTGCCCAAAGGCAGGATTTCTGTCCTGCTCTATCCCAAACCCTGGTCATTGTTTTTCTAATTTGGTTCTCTTCATCTAATAGGCTGAATTTTTGTCATTGTGAAATGGTTCTGGATAACTTTTTTATCTTAACAAGACTGACTGTCTGCTTAATCCACCTGTGTCTAAACTGGTGATCTAAAAACCAACCAACAACAACAAAGTACCAGAGTTTAGGAGTTAGGCAGTGGTAAAGTTCTTGCCTGGCATGTGTGAGGCCCTGGGTTTGATCTCCTGCGAAGACAGAGTACAATAATTTTTTTTTTAATTTCCTGGTCAGCTTGTTTTAAGCTAGTTTGCATTTGGTGCATTATTAGGTCAAATTATGATCTGTAGGATTTTGCAGATCCATGTGCGACACTATGGAAAGCATCACAGGTCCACTCTGACACGCACAGCCTGCTTGTCACTGCCCCTCACCCCTGAGAATGTTCTACTCCAAGCCTGTCTCTGTCCCCTTCTTGGCCAGATGCACCTTGCCCACTGAGCTGGCCACTGTCAGCAGAGGTGCTGACACAGCCAGACCCTGCCAGGTGCCAGCCTCGGGAGCTTGGCAACCTCCATGCCCTTGACCTCACTTGTCCCCAGCCATAGCTCCCAAACAAGCTCTATTTCAAGAAACATGGGCACAGCGGTGGCGGCCACGATTCAGATGTCTGCCTCTGGAGCTAGGACTGGGGCTGTGCTTGGGAAGGCTAGTTATGCCCCGAACCTTATAAACCAACATCCCTTTCCCCACACCACTCAGAAAAATCCCTATGTTTTAATGGGCTCAAGCACTCTTGGAGGCCATGGGACTCTTGCCTGATGATGGCTAAAAGATTCCATGCTTTCCCCTCTTCCTATTTTCCCAGGCAGTCTGGGGGAAGGGGTTGGCTCAGGGTTTGATGAAAGACAAATACTATGTTCATTAGAAGGAAAAGACAAGTAAAAGACTAAAGTTCCTGGTGTCATACATCTTTCAGAGAAACAACTGCCATTGGTCATCTATTTTAACATTTCTGAGACAATTTTAAGATGATGCTTATGCATAAGAGAAAAAATATTAGAGGGTCTTTCTAGAGTGATTGCCACAAATGATTACCTACTGTTTACCAGGCTAAAATTATTCCTGTCCCCGTTGAATTTTCCAGTTTATTAACACACAGCCCCCCCCCCAGCTCAAAGTGGGGAGGGGAGTTAGACAAGCAATAGGCTATTACAGTATTGATTATAGGATAGAGTTATGTGGCAGGAGGAGCATAAATACAGATGGTCTAACAAGACATACAATCAAAATCCAGAACCCAAGGCCAAGCAGGTTTTC